GTCACACCGATATGGGATGCTGGGGGAGGGGAGGAGGCTCCAGGCAGGCGAAATGGCAACGTCTTGCCACTCTACTTATATTGCACTCACTTGGCAGAAACCAGTCCTAGTTAGATCCAGCTCTCCACCTATTGCATACCCACATCTGTGTAACTGAACCTTGGCTAAAGAAAAACATGCCACCGTGCCGGCCTCATCAGGATCCATGCCCTGGATCTCAGGGTGGGGGTTCGGAGCCCAGGGGAAGCCTCTGTCTTTCTCTAGGCCACTGACTCTCCCACTCCCCTAGATGACCAGTTCCCAACAGCTGTTCCCCTGGCCTCGCTCTCAGCTAACTCTCCTTACTTCCTATTTCACCGAGAGAGTTAAAGTAATCGGAAGAGCCACATACCACTCCAAGATTCCAACACCTTATGTACCTACCTACCTACCTGATGCTGGCCCACATCTTTTCTATCACCATGGCTGAAATACGCAGTGGAGCCTGCCCCCTCTGCTACTGAGACACGTCACCCTAGACATTCCCTTCTTTCTCTCCTACAAGAGCAATTCTCCTTCCCTAACCCCTACCTCAGTGGGCCATTCCCATCAGCATAGAAACATGTACCATTTCCCATATTAAAAAAAACAAAAACAAAAAACAAAACACCTAAAGAGGCCTCTCTTGATGGCATTTCCCCTCTATTCCACTTTACCCAACAAATTCCTGGGAAGGGCCGTTTTGATGTGTGTTTCCCACAAGGCTTCTTCCATTTGCCTTTCTTCAAGTGTGTGCTCAGGGAGAAGGCCCCTGACCATCGTATTCAAACTGGCATCCCCTCCTTATCTGCATCCTGGTTTCATCTTTTGCCCCCACCCTCTTCACTTTTTAATGTCCTCCATGAGGCACGTGTCTACTTTTATTGTCCACCCTGTCCCACTGGGATGTAAGTCCAAGCAAGACAGGCGTGTCTGACTATTTTGTCCATTGCTGTGTCCTCAGCACAGGGTAATAATACATCCGAGGTACTCAGTGATGTTTGTTCAGTGAGGGCACGGTGAGAGCATGGGCCGGGGACAATGAGGAAGTCCGTGTGGCTGAAGTGGTGGAAGAAGGGGAGACAGAGGGGAATTAGGAGGTAGGCACAGGTGGGAGGAGGCCACATAGGGTCAAGGGGAAGATCTTTGTTCTCAGCATGATTCAGGATGCTGCTGGAGGGTTTGGAGCTGGGGAGGTACAGGATCTGATGGATGTTGCTGAGATTCTGGCCAGGTCAAGCTGAAAATCCCATATTTCACAAGTGTTCATGGGCAGGCACTTTTTGTTGTTGTTGTTGAGGGAGAGAGGGGAGGGGGAGGGGCAGAGGGAGAGGGAGAGAATCTTAAGTAGGTTCCTTGCCCAACACGGAGCCCGACACAGGGCTCCATCTCACGATACTGAGATCATGACCTGAGCCAAAATCAAGAGTAGGACACCTCACTGACTGAGCCACCCAGTGCCTTGAGGGCAGGTATTTTTATGTCCCTGTGCCAAAAAGCTTCAAGACCAAAGGGAAGCTGTGTGTTGATACTGACTTCGGTCCTACAGGCAGGGCCATGGGGAATGATCACCGCCTTGGAATAGCTTTCCTGGTAAAATAGAATGTGGAACATTTCTCACTCAACAAAACACATCATTGGTAAACACTGAAACAAAACCATCCATTCTCTGCCTACTTATCAATAAAAATATTTAGATTTTCAGTATTTTGCTTTTTAAACAACTGATGTGCGAGTATTAACACATATTTTGAGATTCGAATCAACAGATGTTTCCAAGCACACAGAACAGACAACGCCGGCCTACGTTAAATAGTCACGGTTGGGATTCTAAATGTTGGGCACAGAATTGGAAGACATCTCTGCCTTTTAAATATTAAATAGCAGTGGGAAAATATCCGGGTGTCTGCTGGCCATGGCTGTCAAGTCTGAGTGCCCCTTCACAGTAGTAGCATGTTATGTGGTTTGACGCTCATGGGATGCCATCTTTCCACTGACCAGGAGGGGATAAGCCAGTGTGGTGAGGAAATATGTAGATGGTGGGTTCGGGTGTATGTGTTTAGTTGGTGGAGATGGTGCACTAGCTTCTAGAACTGCAATGGGGATGGGGAATGAAACTCATGGCTTCTGAGCACTCCAGGCAAGGCAAAATGAGGGTTGCAGGGGGAACAGGTAGGGACTAAGGATAATGGGCCCAGGCGCTGCCAAGTCAGCACGAAAAGAGAAAACCGATTTACAAGAGGCCTGGCCGGTGTTCGAGGCTCTAGTACCAGGGTTGCAGCTCCTAGAACTGAACACCCAGGACACTGGCTCCAAGCTTGTTAGTCTTCACACGGGGATGGCCACGTGTTCCCAGCGCTTTGTTAGCTACGACCCCGGTACTCAGGGGTCAGGCAAAGTGGGCCACAGCTTTCTACTCTGATAGATGCCCTCACCTCTCTGTGTACCAAGAGGAAGCACAGGAACGCTAGACCAGCGGGTCTCAGGTGTGGTCCGTGAACAAGTTAGCAATGCGAATTCTTAGACCTCACCCTAGAACCGCTGAATCAGAAACTGCAGGTAGGTCCCAGCAACCAGTGTTTAATAAGCTCCCTAAGGAATTCTAATGCGTGTTTAAATTTGGGATCCACAGGCTTAGACCAGTTCCAGGTGATGCTGATGCTGCTGGTTCCAGGACCATACTTTGAGGACCACTGTTCTAAAGAGTTCATAAGCTTATCGCTCACTTTGTGAGTAAGCCCAGCTATTAATTAATATTACTGAAGACATGGGGACTGTTTACTTTTTTATTTTTTAAAGATTTTATTTATTTATTCATGAGAGATAGAGAGGCAGAGACATAGGCAAAGGGAGAAGCAGGCTCCTTGTAGGGAGCCTGATGTGGGACTCGATCCTGGGACCCTGGGGATCACAACCTGAGCTGCAGGCAGATGCTCAACCACTGAGCCACCCAGCATCCCAAGGACTGTTTAATAACAGCGATCTCTGAACAGAGGGATTGTGGGTAATTCCTTAAAAGTTTATGTATCTTTGTATCTTTCAAAGTTGTTATCATGAACAGGTATTCCTTTTGTAGACAAATACATTAAAAGACTTTGTAAAAGTAAAAATACCTCATTCTGTATAGTTCTCCACAGCAGTGCTTCTCAAACTATTGTGCAAAGAGTGCACTCAAGAAACTTGTTTCAATGAAGATCTAGTTTAAGAGGTTGGATGGAAGGGGAGTCGGGAATGTCTGCATTTTCAACAAGCTTCCGGGTGATTACCATGCACCGGCCCATGTAAACCACACTTAGGGGTTACAGAACACAAAGCACCTTTAGGTCTATTATCTTTTTTTTTTTTTTTGGTCTATTATCTTTTTCGTTCCTTGTCACAGTCCTGGCAGACAGAGTGAGGAATTCACTTTTTCAACCACCAGGTACCAGGCAGGCACTGAGCATACAGATAGGGTCTAGGGAGGTGGAAAACCCACCACCCACCAGAAACACTGCATCTTAACAGATAAGTAATTATAAATAAATGATAGAGACTGATCAGAAGAATGAAGACGGTACCCAAAAAAGAAGGCCTCTGGGAGGAGGTGATTTCAGCACCCGTGGGAAGGATGAGCTGGGAAGTTCAAGGCCCCACTCTGGGCAGACACCAGGAGGCTCCTGCCGCCGAAGGCTCCCAAATCGGGGTGGGGGAGGGAGGGCGCGAAGCCCCGGTGGGCAGCTCATTTCAATCTTTGCCGGAGGAAAGTATTGAGGGTGTAAGCTGGGAAGGGACTGGTCTGCTACGTCTGCCTTAGGGTCGCTCTGGCTGCTGCCGCCGCACGGGCGCCTGCGACGTGACACCTCTCCAGGGCCACCGGGGCGCTGGTGCAGGGAGCTAGACCAGCGGGTCTCAGGTGTGGTCCGTGAACTCGTTAGCAGTGCAAATTCTTAGACTTCACCCTAGAACCGCTGAAGCAGAAACGGCTGGTAGGTTCCGGGAGTCGGCCCCGCGCCCCCGCAGCGCCCCCGCAGCCGGGCGGGCGCACCCTGGAGGTGGGGCTGGGACGGTCAGGAACCCGCATCTGAATAAGGAGTCACCAGGGCGCGTTTTTGTTTGTTTTTTTTTAAAGAAACCACTCAGACTGCGTTCTCTCCCTCTTGCTCCCCCAAGGGAGAAGAACGATCATCAATTGCCAGCAGCAGTTGCATCAGCGACACCAAGAGCAGGCTTCACGCTCCGGGGAGCACACTGCGACCGGGGCGCGTTTTTATTGCTGCCCTCCGCGCCCTGAAAGCGCGCGCTCCCGGGAACAATGCGACTTTTTAACACACACACCCCCGCCCCCCGCCCCCGTTTCAGAGGACCTGGGCTCCCGCGGTGGCATCTTGGACACTTCCCGCCCCGTCGTGCCTTAGTCTGCCCACCTGTTGGAGAGGACTTGGGGGCCAGGCCCGGGGCCTCGGATCGCGCACCTCGGGCCTGGCACGCGGGGTCGATGGGCACCCGGGGAAACTGAGGCATGACAAGCGGCACGTCGCGGGCCCCCGCAGGCGACTCGGTGCCCCCCGCCCCCCCCCGCCCGCCAGCGGTCTCCGCGCCGAGCCCTTCCCCCCACCCCCGCCCAGCGTGGCCAGGGGCGGGGCCGGGCCGGACGGGGAGCGGGGGGCGGGGAGAGGGGGGCGGGGCCCGGATCGCGGGGCGGGGGTGGGGCCGGGCAGTCCCCGCGCGAGGCCCGCTCGCCGGCTCGAGCAGCCCCGCGCCCCGCCCCGCCCCGCCCCTGCCCTCGGCCGCCTCCCGCCCCCCGCCCGCCCCGCCCCGCCCCCTCGCGGCCCGGGACGTGCCGGGCCGGCCACCGAGCGGCGGGGACTGCGTGCGGCGCGCTCACTTCCGCGTCCCGCCGCCCTCCGGCCCGCGCCCGCCGCCATCGGACAATAGGGCTTCCCGCCGCGGCCCGCGCCCCCGCGCCCCCGCGCCCCGCGCCCCCGCGCCCCCGCGCCCGCGGCCGGGTGGGACTGCTGACGTGCAGCCGGGAAGCTCGGCTTTTTTTTTTTTTTTTTCTCTATTTCTTTTTCCTTTTAAGATTTGGAAAAGAGGAGAAGAGACGCGCGGCAGGCGGCAGGCGGCAGGCGGCAGGCGGCAGGCGCGGGCGGGGAAGTGCCGCCAGCTGCCCCGCGCGGACACCCCGAGCCGACCTGGGCCCGCCGAGCCTCCGGGTCTCGACTCGCGCCCGACCCGGGGCCCGGGGTCATGACCCTCCCGCCGGGCAGGTGGAAGGCTCTACCTGTCCCGGGCTGGACGTGAGCCGCCGCCCGTCCTCGGCAGCCAGCCCGGCCCAGCACCCGTGCCCCACCCCGGACACCTGCGCTAGGCTCCGACACCCGCGGCGACATGGACAAGTACGGCGACCTGGGCCTGGAGGCCAGTAAGTTCATCGAGGACCTGAACATGTATGAGGCATCCAAGGACGGGCTCTTCCGAGTGGACAGGGGGGCGGGCAACAACCCCGAGTTTGAGGAAACACGCAGGGTGTTTGCCACCAAAATGGCCAAAATCCACCTCCAGCAGCAGCAGCAGCAGCAGCAGCAGCAGCAGCAGCAGCTCCTGCAGGAGGAGACCCTGCCCAGGGGCAGCCGCGGGCCCGCCAACGGGGGCGCCCCCCAGGCCCGCCGGGAAGCCGGCTCGGGGGGCAGGCAGCCGGTGGATGGTGCGGCCAAGCCTCCTCTGGCCTCGCTGGCCCCTGGGCAGCCCGCGTGCCCACCCCCGGAGCAGAGGGCCAGGCCGCCCGCCCGCGGCGCCGGCCATGGCAGCCAGGACTGCGGGGCCAAGGAGGGCCTGGCACGCTGGGAGATGCCCGCTTTCCGCCAGCCGGGCCCCTGCGAGGATCCCGCCTGCCTCACCCACGGAGACTATTACGACAACGTCCCCTTGCCGAGCCCCAAGTGGGCCGACCAGCCAGGAGTGTCCCCCAGCATCAGGCCGGGCGCGGGCAGTGGGTGGCCCGGCGCCCCGGGGACGGACGCGCCGCTGCCCAGACCCTCCAGGGACCATCCCCTGTACCAGCCTCCGCTCTCCCTGAGCTCCAGCAAGTCGTTCGAGAGCGGCCAGGATGGCGGTGCTGGGGGTCGCGCTGATGGGAAGCCAGCCGGGCTTTGGACTACCGCCTCCTCGCAGCGGGTGAGCCCCGGCCTCTCTTCCCCAGGCCCGGAGAACGGGGCCCTCCTGGGGCCCACTCAGCCCAGGACCCCCTCTTTCTTAGCACCCTTGGCCCAGAGCTGCCCCAGCCAAGGAGCTCTTCCGAGAGCAAACTCGGGGGTGGGGAGTGCGGTTGCCGGCGCGATGCCCAAGCCCACTGTGGATCCTCAAGCCTGGTTCCCAGACGGACCCAAATCTTACCTCTCTAGTTCTGTCCCACCATCCTCACCAGGCAGCATGGACAGTCTGCAGTCGGGTGCGGCCCCTGGGCTGGGTCCCAAGCCCGTCTGCACAGACCCTGGCATGGGTCCCAAGCTCAGCCCCACCAGCCTTGTCCACCCACCTGAGCTGTCTTGTAAAGAAGGTCCCCCCGGCTGGCCCTCCGATGGCGGCCTGGGGCCTGGGCTCCCGGAGAGCCCCAGCCCCCCCCGGGTGAGGCTGCCCTGCCAGACCCTCATCCCAGGCCCCGAGCTTGGGCCCTCAGCTGCCGAATTGAAATTAGAAGCCCTCACCCAACGTCTGGAGCGTGAGATGGATGCTCACCCGAAGGCCGATTACTTTGGTGAGTGAGAGATTGGTGACCTCGCCCACCATGGGTGACAAGGTCCCTGCGTTCGGAGGAGGTGCTCCCCACCCGGGATGCTGTAGGTCTCCTTGAGCCGCGCACGTATGTGTACGCGTGGCTTCCTCTTTCTGCTGCATCTTTTGATCCAGAGACTTGAAAGCGTCCCTGAGCAGAAAGCGGATCTTGTATCCGGGGGTTACCTACGTGCAAAGGGCGAAAGCGGGGTGGGATTACTCATGACTGCTTTCGAAAAAGGGAAATGCTGTGACTTTGGGTTTTGGGGGTTCCGGGTGTGGCCCAGAGTGTCTTGCAGTGACTGGCTCGTCCAGGACTCGAATGGCAGCAGTTTCTGAGGTCCAGGTACCCCTGTGGGTTCTGTCCCCCGGTGGCTGGGCCAGGCTGGTCTGGCTATCTGAGGACCTGTGGTTGGGCAGGGGCGCTCTCTCTGGCCCTGTCTGTCTGTCTGTCTGCAGGTACTGTGTACAGTTGCAAAACTCACATGGAAGATTTTGTTCTCAAGCATTAGTGGTTCTCAAAGTGTAGTCTGTGGCCCGCAGCATCCCTTCACCTGGGAACTGGTTAGAAAGGCACGTGATGTAGGGCCCCCTCCGCCAAGACCTTCATCCGAAACTCAGTGAGTTGGGGGGGAAGGCCTTAGTCAGCGGTGCAGGCAGGCAGTGTGGACTCTCAGGCAGTGTGGACCCTGGGGGAAACTTGAGACCTGTGGGCTAAGGTGTCTCTGAGCTCAGCCCCCACCCTGGGTTCTAGCCCGCAGCCAGGTAGCAGCTGCATCCCCTGCGCCCAATGGGATGGAAGAGGCTCCTTGCTGGTTTTACTAACAGTTTCAGGGTTCCGTTTTATTCTCTTTAAAACCTTGAACTCTTGGAGGCTGCTGGCTTCAGCTTTTTCTTTTGCGCTGCGCAGGGGTTTGGAGGCAGTGAGAAAGCAGTGTGTTCTGTGGAGTCATGATGTTGTGGTCTCATAGAACTAACTAGAAAGCTCTTTTTAGAAGAGTCTGAGGGTTTTTGTCTTGTTTCCCCCCATTTTTGAACTCTGGAGAATTGGGGTCATAATGTCCCCCTCTGAGGCCAGAGAGCCTTGGGAAGCCGAGTCCTGGGAGGGTGCCCGCTGTGCTACACGGAGGAGGGCAGGGCCCAGGAAGGGCCATCAATCTGTCCTGTCTCTGGGGCCTGAGATGCTTGGTGGGACGGGGTCCCTGGCGCCCATGGCAGCACGGTGTTCCTTACCCCCTGAAGCCTAATGGGACCAGCTCTCACGGCACAGAGGGCGCTCGTAGGTTGGGGTGACTTCATTGGTTTGTGTGTCTGAGCATGTAGCACCCTCTTACTCCTCTTTTCCTTTGCAGATTTCTCTGGGGAATAACACTTAGCAGGAAATACCGTGGTTTAAACTGTCAACTGTTGCTAAATTTTTAATTCTGAGCTCGCTAAACAACAAACTAGTACTTCTCTTTTGTCAGGGAGGCAGGTTTACACCCCAGATGGGGGCAGAAGTATTTGCTCACACCAGTCATTCCACATGTTTATTGAGCCCCTGCCTTGCCCTGTTCAAGGCCTCGGTGTCATACACAGTGAACAGGACAGACAGTAATCAAGTCCTGGGGAGAGATACAGGTCGAGGAGGGGATGGAGCCTCCCGGCAGGTGGCAGGAAAGTTTCCAGTTTTGAAATGGGGGTCAGGGAACGCCCCATTGGGAAGGTGGCATTTGAAGAAAGGTCTAACAGGAGGCAGAATTTCCTTGGGTGAGCGTGTCCTAGGTGGGCAGACAGCAGGGGCAAAGGCCCTGGGGCCGGTCTGTGCCAGGCCCCACCTGTGCTGGACACTTACCCTCTACCGTTTAATTTACTAGTTGCAACAACCCTGGGAAGCAGGTTCTGTCATTAGGCCTGTTTCACCGATGGGGACGATAAAACCCGGGGAAGTTAGATCATTAACCGAGGCCTCCCAGGTGGTGGTGCTGGGTGAAGCTGCCAGTCGAGCCCCCCGGTTCAGACGCCGTGGCCCTGTCCCTAACCAGCATCGCCACGCTGCCTCCCAAGCACAGATGCGGAAAACTATTTTATGTCCGAATTTATTTATTTTTGTGGCTTTGTTTTTTTTAATTTTTAGTTGAGGTGAACATGACACACCACAAAATTTAGCCATTTTAAAGCAAACAATTCAATGGCATTTGGTACATTCACGGTGTTTTACAAACACTCGCTCTGATAGTTTCAAAACATTTTTATCACCCCCAAAGGAAAATCCTATACCCATAAAAAGCGGTTGCTCCCTATTCTCCCTCCCTCCCAGCCTCTGGAAACCACACCTATGTGCTCTGTCTCTGTGGATTTACCTATTCCGGATGGTTTAGGTCAATGGAATCCTATTTTATTTTATTTTTTAAAGATTTTATATTATCCATTCATTCGGGAGACTCTGAGAGAGAGGCAGAGACACAGACAGAGGGGTTCCCTGTGGGGAACCTGATGTGGGACTCGATCCCAGGACCATGACCTAAGGATCATGACCTAAGCCAAAGGCAGACGCTCAACCGCTGAGCCACCTCATTTCTATTTTTTGACCAAACATGACATTTGTGTGTAGAAAAGTCAAAAGGCACCCAAAAACCCGCACAAAGAAGAGTGAAGTGTGTCTCAGTCCCGGTGCACCGAGCGGTGTGTCTCGGCAGCTGCCATGTGTCAGCGCATGTTGAGCCGGTGCAGTGTCACCCATGGGGACATGCCCAGGTCACGTGAGCTGCAGTCACGGCGGACCTGGAGAAGGGCCCACCTGCAGGGAGCAAGCCCAGCCGTGAGCTAACCCCCCGCCCCCAGGGTGGCCTTGTGAGGCTGGGGCCTTGTGCCCTTCCTGAGTGGCCTGCTTGCCCACCACACGGGAGAGGGCCCGCCCCGCGCCTGGAAGCTTCGGCAGCCCAGCTTCTGTCGGCTCTTCCATGACCGGCGGTGTGGCGGAGGAGGGAGCCTCATCGGGGCCTCTGGAGGTCGGTTCTTGGCCTAGTCCTGCTGGGGGGGCTTGAACAAACCCTCCTGTCTTCTAGGCCTCAGCCCCCCTCTGTAGTGCCAGGCGGCCGGCCCCGCTGAGGGGCTCCCCACACGGATGCCTCCCCTTCCCTCACTCTGGTGGTCTTTGAAAGCTTGTGCCTGCCCCGCACGCTGCATTTCTTGAATTAGGATGAGATTTTACTTCCCAAGAGAAGACTCTATGGATACGGGGCCCTTGCCAGAGAGTCGGGGTAACGTCACCGTAACCATCAGGGCCCACGTAGTTCGAGCCAGAAGCCAAGCAGAGTAGACGTTTGGGCTGCTTACGTGGGCCCCTCCCTGGGTCAGACAGAGGCGTCCCCGGGGGTGTTTACACTGTGGGAAGAGCTCCTGAGTCCCTGTGCTTGCCTTGGAGAACACTTAGGTCTGAAGACGCCTCAGTTTCCCGTCCTTGATCAGCTCATCTCCGAGGACGCTTCTGGCACCTTCCCTGGCCGTCTTCGTGGCTCTGGTGCGATGTGGAGCTGGGGACTCCTTCTCCCTCTCTGCCTTTCCTGTTCTTCCTCTGTGGCCTCTTTGTGTCTTTCTGTCCATGAGGAAAGAGGCAAGGACAGATTCTGGATGCCTCTCGCTTGGTGTTCTGCGTTAACACCACTGTTTACCCTGCAGAGGAAGGGAAGCGGTCACCAGGCCTTTTGTTTACTCTTTCCTGGCCTTTCCCCCCAGGCATCCACTGTCTTCCTCACACTGGCTCCCTCCTCTTCCCCAGGGAAAGGATACAAAGAGACCACCTGTCACAGCCCGGGCTTCCCAACGTGGAGTGCGCAGGGGGCCCCGAGGGGATGCCCTTGGGAGGTGGGTGGAGACATGGTCCACCCTTCAGAAGTGTCCCGAGTTGGGGTGAGATATCCGGACTTTCATGCTCCCCCCTAAGGTCACCCATCAGATGTGGGCCGCCCTGGGAAGGCATGACCCTGGTGAGGCGGCCCTCTGCAGCTGGCACAGAGCCCGAGGCCACCTCCCAGTGCACCCCGGGCCACCGGGCCCCCCACCTCATCCAAGTGGCCACCGCGGCCCCCCACAGCCAGATAAAGACCCCTCGTACCGTGGCCTTTGGGCTCCGTGATTCTAATCCTTGCCACCCTGTGTCTTGTGCCCGTGGCTCGGTGGGTATCGGGCACATGCTCTGTGTTACCCTTCACGGCCAGACACCAGTCGTCTCTGTTCACAGTGGAGAAACTGAGGCCCATGATCTGCTCAGGACCACACAGGCGTACGTGGTGGCGCCTCCACACCAGTTGGGCTCTGACCGCTCCCGTGGTGGGGCCTGGTGGCCTTTCAGGTCTGCGTGTGCTGCTGTTTGTCCCTCCAGTTTCACACTCCGCCCAGCTGCTGCGGGGGCATCGGTGGGCTCTGTGCCCGTGCCTGCCCTCCCGGCTGCGGGTCTGGGGCTCCGTCACTGCTGACGCCCCCCGGGAGAGAACCACACTCTGCCCTGGGTTGGAGGAGGCCCTGCCCGGCTTCGTCAGGCACAGGGAGGAGGTGGAGGGGCCAGAAGAGACTGGTCGCGGGGTGTCCCTCACCAGGCCAGGGGATCGACGGGCCTCCCCCAACCCTGCATGGAGCAAGAAGAGCAGCCTCGGGAGCCTGTAAACAGGTGTGACTCCTCCTGGGAAGGGCCCCGCCCCCGCCAGGGGCTAGGGAGCCTGTGGCACTTGATTTCATTCTCCTAGGGAAGCAGGAGGTCAAGGACACCTTCCAGAAGAGCATGTAAAAATCCTGTCTACTCCTTCCCAGCAGACGGTCTTGCCAGCCTCGAGAATTCCCGGACAGAGCCCTGCATGGACCCTGGACGCCCCGCTTAGTCCCCAAATATCATGCATTTCGGTCAAGCCAAACTAGGGGCTGAAGTAGAAGAGAAGGTGGTGGAAGATCATGACCATGTGGCTCTGAGCGGCTGGCACGGTGCGGTTCCCCGGGGACTTGGCCCCA